GGGATTTAGACTGCCACAGGGATCAACAAACGCTTTTCATTCCTCTAATTTTATTCGTGTTTTTCTCGTTGCCATGTTCCCACCAATAACGTAGCTCCAATATCTGCCTTTAAAAGCACACACTACCCACAATTCCTCTATTCGCTCCGAGGAAGGGTTAACGCTCGAAACTTCAACTTTTGTAATCGTTACGGTGGCCAATTTACCCTTTCAACTTTGTTGATATATCCAAATTAAGAAGGAATAAGGTGTGTTGCTATGGTGACTAGCAGGATGTAATTTATGACCATTTTCAGTTTGATTAGATCAACTAATGGGTTTGTGGGTAGCAAAAAGTGGCCCTCAAGGTCAGTTTTGGAAATGAAAAACGTGACCTAGTAAGGATAGCTCTTATAATTTTTAATACTGACATATTAAAAGCCGCAATTTTCTATACAAAGCACTTTCTTAGGTAATCTATGACACCTCTTCAAAGTTCCTTTTACCTGCCGTACGGCGCTTTTCAATATATCCAATGAGAGCCAGGATGAACATGAAGGCAGCCAACGGTCCAACAATGTAGTACCACTCTATTGGGCTGCTGGAAGGAGCTGCTGCATTTCCTGTAGGAAAGAAATTTAGTTAATTAACAAAGGCAACCAGCCCCGCCAATTTTCTGTGTAGAGAAGTAGAAGGGTAAAATTATCACTCTTTGTTTTGTTCCCACATCTGACTATTTGACATTCGTATTGTTTACTGCTTGTGTTGAGGTGATACAATCTGATCAGCTATGGTACTCACTACGGGGAGTAAAAAGAATCTTACGCAGAGCTTGAAGCAGTCATAGAAAATGTAACGTGAGCATGTACCTGTAATACACTGTATGCTATCATAGCAAATCATATAGTTATCTCCATATATGGGATGCTGCTTCTGCATCTAACTTCGTTTTCATTTAATGATTTTAGTTTCAAGAAGATGAAAAAATAACAATGGAAAAGTTTAGGAATATAAAAACTTGAGATTCTAGTTCACAGAAAAGACCTTCCAGTTACACTAGCTTACCTTCTACATCCAATATCACAGAAGAGCGAGCCACAATTCCTAATATGTTACTTGCTTCACAAGAATATTCACCACTGTCCTCTTCCACAACNTAACGGGGTCTTTTAAGGTCTGGAACCAAATAGCTAGTTACAAATTATATCCTTATATGTAAGGCAAGATTTTCAAGCGCATTATTAGTCCGGATTTCTAGCGGCAGTATTTACTCCTGAACTTACTCAAACTTTTGGGAAAAATTCCAACAAGATGTAAACCTTTCCTCACTTTGTTCTCTTTGTTTGCACACATCAATTCATAATTGCAATGGTGGGAAGTCCTTAAGAAGTCTCTATGTAAAACAATAGGCTCCAATCCCTCCCCCCCCCGCCACCCTTTTTAACAATAGCCTTCACCTTCTTGTCCACCTGGGGCCTTCCACTATCTTCATTTTCCTATTTATCTTCATACAAAATAGCAATATTAATTTTTGTTTATGTCAAACTTACCATAAACAATTAGTGTTGCAGAGGAACTAGTTGAATTTTCCTTATTTCCTGCTGTACATTTGTAAGTCCCCTTCATCTCTTTAGTGACACGTGGTAATTCCAGGATTGATTCTCCTTCTTGATCGGTTTGATTGATACCAGATGGTAGGTCACTATTATTAAAAGCCCAGACAAATGTTGGTGTTGGTATTCCTGACGCTCGGCAGCTAAAGTTGACAGAGTATCCTTCGGTAACAGTCTGGTTTTTCGGAGGCTCAGTGATCTGGGGAGAGACTTGAAATAAAGAGAAAGTCAGATTCAACAAGGGTTCATATCAACCACTTTAACGCCGATCCTCACCCCGCCCCTATTGAGTGAAACAAGAATAAAGTTTGATTCTATTTTTTTTCTAAGTTCATTTTGCAATAGGTTTCATTACTTTGGCACTAACAGGTCTCAATCAAAACAATTTTTCACATTTGTGACATAATAATTTTTCTTGCTAAGATATTTCTTGTCTCTGATAACAGGGGGCAATAAAAAATTATCTACACATGTTTGTTTATTTATTTATTTTCATTCTTTGTTTAGTGTGAGGTGAACAACGTATACTACCATGCTCCAGGTCGCCAGTTTCTCTAAGATCATGGTATACACTTCGGTTATAACTAAGCGAGTGATCAAAACAATATAAAGCGCTGATATTCCATGACAACAAAAAGTAAAACCGTTGTTGATGAATCCATTTGCAAATTGGCCATTTAACAAAAGTAGGACCACACAATCTGTTCATTAATGTACAATGGTGATGCTTGTTTCCATAGTTTTTCCCGAAGATTTAACTTTTGTCTGTACTGGCAGGATATCTAATGCGAGAATCAACTGTATGTGATCGGGAACGGTTCTTTTAGAAAAAGGTATGAGTGATGGTTAGTGTAACTCAAAGAAACTGCAGGGAAGGTTCTTTATAGTCTTTCCGAAATCAATTCTTTTGATGAAAAATATAGTTTATGATGTAATGATGGCCACCTTGACCAACTTCAACGCCCTCATACGCATACATCTTTATTTAACTAGGGTAACATATTAACTTACAAAGTTTTCTCACATATGGCCCTCAACTTCCCATCCATCCCACCCCAGGGGTGGACATCCATCACACGGTAATCTCATGTGTGGGAAGCTAACGTCTCCTACCTTAACCTCCAAATATTCCTCCCTATCCGAGAAGACTAGAATATCTAAGACCTTGGGTGTTGGTCCGGCCGGGGCTCGAACCCTCGACCTCCCGCACAACAGTCCAGCGCACTATCCATTGGGCTATCTGGGCGGCGGTGAATTCATTATTTGTAAAGGAATATGATGACAAGCGAAAAAAGAAAGGATCAATTCAAATCTTAAAGGGACTTTTACGAGAAATACTGTCACAAAATGGTGCTTTAAGATCGAAAATGTCAGGTTTTTTTTACGCTC